CAATTATACACTTATTTTCACATAGCTATGTGAAAATAAGTGTATAATTGTATGCGGTTGCTGTTCCTCTGTATCCTCTGCTTCTCAATCGGGCTCAAACTGATAAGCGATATTAACGATGCCGTTGTTTACAATACAACCGGAGCACATGCCGCTGAGGAGAGGGGCAGGATGTTTAGAGGCGGCACTAGAGGCGGTTTAGCCAATCACAACACACTGGGCTAGCTAACCAATCAGAGCCCATCGCCTATTTCTGAGGCTTCATAAAAACAGGAAAAGATCAGTCCGTTTCTCAGAGAAGGGACAGAGCTGTGTGGAATAAAGGTAAATTATGTGAAAAATAATTTTTTTTATTTTTCTTAAACGAAGCATTAACACATGTTAGACTGCACCCCATAAACACAGTCAAGCCTAGAAAAAACCCAGTGAACCACCCCTTTAAGCTAATTTAATAAATTTCCACTAAAATAAGGTTTATTTCTTGACATATTAACTAAGGTTACTACTGTAATTTATGGGCACTGCATAGTGATACACAGGTAGGTATCGAGACGGTGTTTCACATATATCTGTTTCTATGTGTATTTTAAGCTGTTTTTATAATGTTTTATATGAAAAGCATGAGGTTCTCTTATAAATTATCTTGTGAGCTTTTGTATGTACTCTTGGTTTCCTAAATCTAGAACTGTGCTCTGTTTAAGTGTGTAAACATTGTTTGACCAAAGTCTACCATCTATGTCTATGTCTAGACGGAGCATGTGATGATAGAGGGACATTCCCGACCCATCTGTCTGGAAGCTGGAGTTAAAACTAACAGCATCTTACTTACGGACTGTGATCCTGTCAATAATTTTCAGAAATGGCAGTTTACACACTACTACGCTGAGTGAGATGCTCCAGAATATTACTCCCGTATTGTCCACAACAACTTTCACCTCTGTGCATGGATTTGTAATTTTTTGTTTGTTTGTTTTAATATGTGTGATTTGATGAAAGGGTTTGGTCCATTTAATGTCCACTTAATGCACATTGTGTAATACAGATGTGATTTTGTTGTTTGATTTTTGACATTCTGAATCATAAGTGTTTGGGGTTCACATCAGATAATCAGGTCTTCTCTTTTGGGTAATCCAGGTTGTTTGTATTTTAGGGTTTGTGTGGGAAATACTTTTGGTATGGATAGCAAATGATACATAGGGGTTTTCCACAATAAAAACCATTTTGAAGTACCCTTAAGATATTTTCACAATAAAGTTCTTGTTGCTTGTTAACACAAGCATTTAATTTTTATATGTTCAAGTCGTTATGAAATGACCGACTTTACTATCGTATTGTGACGTATTTCCAAGTGAAACACCTTATCGAACAAGAAAAAATATAAATTGGATTGTGAAAAGTGAGCAATGCATACCTATAAGTGCCACCTATTGACCAGACGACCCTATATAATGGCGTGGCAGAAGGTTTCCTGAATGTTCTGTCATTTTTGTGCACTGCTGTAAATAACACTTAAGTTATTGCAGTTTAAGGTATTTAATTATAATTAATAAATTATTATCTGACTCTATCATGACCTTGAATTTAGATTGGAACGCCAATTAATTATTAGTCATATGATAATTTATTGACATTTTTGATTATCCAATTTAACCCTTCACTTTAGATTGTGCTCATTCTTTCAGATTCAATGACTCGTCTTTGTATGTGGTTCTCACGATCACAAACTACAGTGGGTATAAAAAAGAACCCTCTCTTTAAAATAATTAATTTTTGTATTATCCAGTTCTATTTACTCAGTGAAACTTATAACTTCCAAGTGAAAGATAAAACACCATGTCGGAAAAGAAAAATGACCACAGCTGATCAGTTGAAAGTCAAATGGCTTTGTGCGCCATTGAGAAGGTGATTAGCTACAAGTGATTGAGTTTACAAGTCATTTTTAGGAGGGGCTTATCCTTTTTCTGACTCAGTGATTCTATTTTTGTATTATTTTTTTTCTGACGTTAGTGTTATATACAGTGCTGCTTGAAAGTTTGTGAACCCCTTAGAATTGCCTATATTTCTGCATAAATATAACCCCCCAAAAAACATTAGATTTTCATTAAAGTCCTGAAAGTTGACAAAGAGAACCCATTCAAACAAATGAGATGAAAATATATACTTTGTCATTTATTTATTCAGGAAAATGATCCAATATTACAAATCTGTGAGTGGCAAAAGTATGTGAATCTCTAGGATTAGCTGTTCATTTGAAGGTTAAATTAGAGTCCATCTGTTCAGAGGTGTTTTTAATCAGTGAGATGACTATCAGGTGTCAGTGTGTGCCCTGTTTTATTTAAAGAACAGGGAGCTATCAAAGTTTGGTCATGTTTGTGGAAGTGTATATGTGCACAAACAAATGAGATCTCTGAGGACCTCAGAAAAAGAGTTGATGTTGTTCATCAGGCTAAAAAAATTAGTAAAGCCATCTCTAAAGAGTTTGGACTCCACCAATCCACAGTCGGACAGATTGTTTACAAATGGAGGAAATTCAAGACCACTGTTACCCTCCTCAAGAGTGGTCCACCAACAAAGAACACTCTAAAAGCAAGACGTGTAAACTAGGTTTCAAAGGACTGCAGGCTAACTTCTAAGCAACTAAAGGCCTTTCTCACATTGGGTAATGTTAATGTTTATAAGCCCATCATCAGGAGAACACTGAACAACCATGTTGTCCATGGCAGAGTCGCAAGGAGAAAGCCACTTTTCTCCAAAAATAACATTGCTGCCCATCTGCAGTTTGTGAAAGATCATGTGGACAAGCCAGAGGAATACTGGAGAAATGTTTTGTGGATGGATGAGACCAAAATAGACCTTTTTTTTGTTTAAATGAGCAGCGTTATGTTTGGAGAAAAAAACCTCTGCATTCCAGCATAAGAACCTTATCCCATCTGTGAAACATGGTGGTGGTAGTATCGTGGTTTGGGCCTGTTTTGCTGCATCTGGTCCAGGACCAGGATGGCTTGCCATCATTGATGGAACAATGAATTCTGAATTATGCCAGCAAATTCTGAGGGAAAATGTTTACTGAATCTCAAGAGAAAGTGTGTCATGCAGCAAGACAACGACCCCAGCACACAAGTCATTCTTCCAAAGAATGGTTAAAGAAGAACAAAGTTAACGTTTTGAAATGACTGAGTCAAATTCCGGACCTTAATCCAATTTACATTTTGTGGAAGGGCCTGAAGTAAGCAGTTCATAGGAGGAAACCCACCAACATCACAGAGTTGAAGTGGTTCTGTACTGAGGAATGGGCTAAAATTCCTCCAAGCCATTGTGCAGGACTGATCAGCAGTTACAAGAAACGTTACTTGCAGTTATTGCTGCAAAAGGGGGTCACACCAGATACTGAAAGCAAAGATTCAAATACTTTTGCCACTCATAGATATGTAACAATGGATAATTTTTCTCAATAATTAAATGACAAACTATATATTTTGTCTCCTTTGTTTGATTGGATTCTCTTTGTCTACTTTCAGGATTTGTGTGAAAATCTAATTATGATTTGGGTCACATTTGTGCAGAAATATAGAAAATTCTAAATGGTTCACAATTTTTCAAGCAGCACTGTATCTTTCGCTTGGATGTTATAAATTAAGTAAATACAGCTGGATTAAAAAAAAAAAAAAACTTCTGCAATTCCATGGTTTAGCCACTAGATTCCTATATAGCTCTATATAACTGTCCATGTTCATTTCAGGCTGCAGAGCAACAAAATGTGATTATTTTAAAGGTGGTGATTATTTTCTATACCCACTGTATACTATTTACAGTAAATGGTGGTAAGGCTTGCTCTTATCTAAAAGTACTTTGTTTAATCCCTCAGATAGTATACACTAAATTAGAGTAAATTTATTTGTAGTCAGAAGTCATGACCACTACTATTTGCAAAAATAGACCAATATTACTTTGTCGAATAGTATTGCTTTATATAATCATGCCATGGATTCCAATATACACTTATCTAGAAGACAAAACTCAGAGTTAGACTTTACCCTATTTAGATTGGTTGATTTTGTCTTAGAATGTACAGGCTCTAAGGGTATTTCCATTTAAGTTCACTTAAGCCAATTTACTAGCTGAAGCACTAAAATCTCAGTTGGCATACCCCATTGCTTCCCCTAAAACTGGACTGTCAATGTAGTCAATCAAACAGTGTAAAACCTCTTTAACCCTCTGGTATTGTTCATGTGGGAGTCACACTTGTGTTGTTTGCAGTCAAAACTCTTTTTTTCAGTGAAATCAATGTAATTTTTATTTTCAGTAATATTTATTCTTTTTTTTTTTTTCTTTTTTTTGAGAGAGAATTTCATGGTACTATTTAATATTTAAGCTATAATTTTCCCCATTAAAAATAATGCTTTTTTTTTCCTAATATGTTTCTATTACTTTTCAATTATGGCAGTATTTCATGTTAAAATTTAAAATAAATAGGATCACACAAAATATATAATAGGCTATAATATAATTAACATTAACAAAAGGGAAAAACCACTGCAACGAGTATAGGCTACGCTCGTTTTTGTGACAATCGCATTTAGCCACTAGATTCCTATATAGCTCTATATAAAAGGCTTATAAATTCTGTAGTTGTTTTTAGACATAAATACTTTTTTTAAAGTAGTAAAAAAACTGCTCCTGGTAAGACTACAGCCCTCATTTGGGTTGAGTCGAAAACTGCTCCCAGGAACGAAATCTGTTGGTTGGGAGACCGAGAGCTCTTGGCAAAATTGACCCTGAGCCCCAGGCACTCCAAGTTGCTGAGGAGAAGGGACCTGTGGGATACTAGCTCGGCCTCTGACTGGGCTAAGACAAAGACCCAGTTATCAAGGTAGTTTAGAATGTGAATTCCCATCTGCCTCAGAGGGGAAAGAGTACATAAACTTCATGAGCATACGAAGAGCTGGAGACTCCCTCAAAGGCGAATCTCAAGAACCACCTGTGATAGGGGGCTATCGGGATGTGAAAGTAAGCATCTTTCAGGTCCAGAGAGAAGAACCAGTCCCCTGGGCATATTTGCGAGAGGATCTGCTTCAAAGTAGTCATCCTGAACGACCGTTTCATGAGGGCATGATTCAGGTTCCTGAGGTCGAGGATGGGTCGGAGACCGCCATCCTTCTTGGTGATGAGGAAGTAACGGCTGTAGAAGCCTGACCCAGAAGCTGGCGGAAACGTCTCTACAGCTCCTTTTGCCAGTAAATTCATCACCTTGGAGCGCAGGACGTGAGCATTTTTGCTTCCTACTGAGGTGGGAACCACGGCGCTGAAGCGCGGGGGTCTTTGAGCGAATTTAAGTGAGAAATCTTATTTTATTATTCCCAAAACCCAGGCCTTGGCCCATGTGGCAAGGGGTTGAATTGGTTTGAGTGACCAATGACGCGTTCCACTTATGACGCTTGTGATAAGTGGATGAGGAATAATGCTCTCTTTTTGAGTATGTTTGTGTTTTATTTTGTCCGTATCACAGCAGTTAGTTGCATGGGCACTTGAACAGGCCCAGTTCTTACAAAAAACTCATTGTTTCCAGCACCCGGAACTAAAGGGGGAGTTTGAAGGCATAAACAAAGCTGTTTGGGGGGTAGTCCGGCTGCAGTAAGACTTAGCCCTCTCCTCTTCCTGTCTGCTAGATCAGGGCGACTTCTGAGGCGCAGGATCCAGCGCTATTTTTGGCCGGGGTCCCTGATGCTTCAGGAAGGGATGGTGCTTTGCAGAGGAGGAGCACTGTCGAGGCTCAGGCTCTGGAGTAGGCTGAGCAGGCAAAGGCACAGGTTTCGCAGGCTCCTGTAGCGAATCAGCTCAAGGGGAAATATGAATAATTAATCATAGCTAGTTATAATTAATTATAAATATTTAGATCCGCTGTAAGTATTTACTTGACCTCTCAGGGTCAACTGTCTGTCAATTCTAAGAACGTTAATTTCCTGGTTAAGGGAAATAACTTTCTTACTGTACAAATCTACACAGAGCCTGTAGCATAAATCTGCATAATTAGGGACTCCAGTTATGAGCAAACAATGAACAACGTCAAGTGTGATACAAGCAGTGTTGGGAGTAACGCGTTACAAAAGTAATGCATTACAGTAACGGATTACTTTTTGCTGTAACGCAGTAGTGTAAGGCATTACTAATCAATTTTCAGTAATATTTTACTCGGTACATGTTCAGTAATGCATGCGTTACAACACACTTTTAGCCCAAAATGTAATTGTTAAAAAAAAAAAAACAGCAAGACAGCGAGACACTAACAAATCAAAAATGCAGCAAGTAAGTTCTATATCCTGTTCGTGGTCAGTCAATAGCCGCGTGTGGTGTCCAAGTTTGTAAATAAAAATTAAACGAAAGCTTCTGATATATTTGTTTAGCGATTTATTTCATTCATCTCCCTCTCGCTGGTGGAACTTTGTGACGTAGTCCAGTGAAGGAGTGTTTAGGTCGGGTTTTACAGGAGTGCCTCGAAGTTACTGGCCCGACAGTGGAAACGCGGCATGATTTCAGCCTCTGTGCTTGAGGTCCGGGCTCAC